TTTTTTTTATCAATGTTTTTCTTATTCTTCCCTTCTGTTTGTGTTTTTTTTGGATTAATTTCACAAATTTTTGAGGAAAACCCCAGATGGCAAAAGATTGTTGAAAAACTTACAGATGACCAGGATTAAGTGCAGCCCTGACCTTTAGTTAAAAAGGTTTAGTTTAAAAGGTTGGATTCATGGTTGTCACACACAGACTGCCCACCACAGAGTCCAGACCTTTATTCTTAAATGAGAATCTGTGGGATTAGCTGGAGAAGACACTTTTAATGAAACTGCAGATTGAAATAAATGTTTTGCTTTACATTTACTCAGCGAAACAATCGCCACAGAAAATGTTTGCCTTCGTCAAAGCTAAAGGCAGTCTAGTAAAATGTTTGGCTGTGTAGTATTGATACTGATTATAGTGATCGGTTCAAGGTTTTATTTCTTACAACATTTCTTTTAAAGGCTGCTTAAATTTAGCTGCTGCAACACTGAGATGTCTCAAAGCTTGAGGATGAAGGCATGAAAAACTGTACATTTAATCAACACCAATCAACTTAAATAAGCAATTAAAGACATATATTGTGCACTGGGTAAAATAACTGATGAAACTAACAGCGAATATCTCTGATCTGGTTCAATGAATGACTTTAAAAATGAGAACTTTCCTGATGTACTGATGGCAGTGTCACTACACAGAAGTGCAAACCAGGAAGTTAAACGCTTTTCTGCATCAACACAAACTGCCTGAATGATAAAGAGTTTACATTTGCATATGTGCAGCTCTACTGGGAACACTAACGCATATTTTATGTGAAATACTGTTAAAATTTGAGGTAGTTTTATTAAAATATCTGTGTTTTATGAGAAGGTCCCATAGAGACTGTATATTTTAGATATGATCATTGTCCAACATCTTCACAATGAAATGAAAACAGTTGTTTTATGATACAACCTGATGTTATAATATTTAGAGGGATTGTTGAAGCTCACTGTGAACTAAGCTACACATGAATTAAACAATGCAAACAAATGTGTACTGAATGATCCCACCCTGGGATATAAATAGGAATAAACAATAATAATATAATATATAATATAATAAATAATAATAAATAAATGTGTAACACTGATGAAAGTCCAAACTTTAATGTTTTTGTTTATTGCTGCTCAAAATTGTTATTTCAGTTATAAGAGCTGTTGAATTTTCAGGTAACTGTTGTTTTCGTATCAACACAAGTTATTGTTTGAAAATATTATTGTTTGAACCATCACGATGAAGCAAAGTCATTCACACTGATGCTGTTTGTAAGATGAGGTGGAAGCTGCTCTGTGACAATAGTAAATAGGAATAGATAAGTTTGTAACATTGATGAAAGTCAAAACTTTAATATTTTTGTTTAATGCTGCTCAATTATTGTTAGTTCAGTTATAAGAGCTGTTGAATTTTCCGGTAACTGTTGTTTTCGTATCAACTCTGAGTTATTGTTTGAAAATATTAAAAAGTCATTCACACTGATGCTGTTTGTAAGATGAGGTGGAAGCTGCTCTGTGACAATGAATGTATTTATACTTGGCTTGAACGATCTGTGAACGTTTGCATTGCTGATTTTGTCTGTCTTTAAATATACAGTACTCATAAAACAAAGGAAAATCAAATAAAGAAAAGAAATAAGAAATGTTATGTACTTTGTGTTCTGTGCACTAGTTTACTGTTTAATGTGTTATTATTAATACACCTTTGTGTAACATATTTTTATCATTAAAATATTTTAAAAAAGAAGCTTTTTTTGACACATGGTGTGCGAAAAACAAACAAACAAGGAACGTTATATTACATATGTCACTTTTCCCAGTGCATCTCATCGGCTGTCCCCAACATGTGTCATCAAAGTATCGGGAAACTGTCGGAA